AGCCAAAGAATTACCCCCTTCCTTATGTACATGATATTTAGGAACACCCTGTATAGGCTATTGAATAAAGGATTTTAAAAGAAAATATGAATCGTTCAAATGGTCATTTTAGATGAAAAAACCACGGAATGTTATTAAATTAGAGGGAGATAGATAGATTGGAGATAGGGGTGAAAAACCCCCCTTTCAGTTTTTTAGTTGTGGCTCGAAAACGAAGCAAAATTTCGCTATTTGCTTCGTTCGTTAAATTATTTAGAGAATTTAATTTCCCATCGAAATAGCTTATTTACTAATTTAAAAGGAAAATTTTATGCAAAAAATCGTTAATAAACAATTTGAAAAAAGCAAAAAATTCGATTTTCTGATTTTTTTTTTACTTTTTTGCCTCTAGTTTTTTTTTTGAGAGGATTAGTTTTTGAATGAATTAAACTTAAAGAAAGCTGAAACATAAACTATACTATTTTGCTTACGTGATATTAGTTGGATAGCAAATGCAAAGTTTATAAAATTTTTAGGTTATTAATATCTATTGCATTTCATATACAAAATAATTTTTTTCTTTTAACCCCTTTGCCTACTTACTCATCGGTGCTGGCGGAAGGGACTGTTTATTATCATCATTATTCTACTCCGAGTATACTTTTCAGTTTTTCTCACCTATATTCACATTTTCTGGCATTCCCTTATTTAAATGTACCGAAGAGAGTGGCTCTGCCACACAATTAAATTGAATTGCTCGCGCCCGAATCGAGTCTCCATTTAATTAGCGCTGATTTAATGCGTCAACACCTTTGCGGGGTTTTATTTGAATTGATGCGAGCCTTGACCTCCTCGTCGCAATAATCTCGGCTATGCTGGAACGCGAGCCAGTGGCGGGTCCACCGCTCCGCCAAACTGCGCTGGATAATGTCAAAATTAACAGTTTCGTCAAAAAATGGTTATTTTTCATGGTACTATTTACATTTCTAACAGCAGGCTGCGGTTTTAAAGTACACGCTGTCTGTTAAGTACGTCGACAAACTAATTAAGTAAACATGGATCCACAAAGTAAAAGTTTTGTAAAAAGAAAAATCTCAAGTATCTCTGAAGACTTTTGATGCAGAATGATAAAACTTAGGCTAAATACGTCTACTAATGGCCGTACCGGGAGTCGCTTTTACTGAAAACCACAAAAATTCGACGGCACTGAATATACGGAACCATTTTCAATTTATGTAAAACGAAATATATCTTTTTACTGGAAACACTTATTAAAAAGTTAGAAGAGACAATTTCAAAATATTCAATGTTATCGGGTTATTCTGGGATTTCAGTGAAAGTAACTTCCTGTATCTCTGCCAATGGTGCATGTATTTATATGCGAATTCAGTCGATTTTTTACTTTAATTGAATAAATCATTAGGTAGCTTAAGTTTCATCAGCATATTACAAATGTTTTTAGAGAAATTTTGGAAATTGAGTGGTTTTAATATCAAAATTCATACAATCTTTTTGCTTTAAAATCACTGAAAGAATCACCCTAAAGATTGTCGACTTACTTAACTAATACCCTGTATTAAATACTAGTTAGTTAAAATAGGATTAATTTGATTTCAAGCTAGATACTTTTTTAGGAAAATTAATTGTAATTTTATACTCAATTTTATAAACAAGAATAATCTAAGATTGTTCCCAAATTTCTCTCAAAGTAAATTCAAACTTAAATTTGGCAGAAAAAAATTCTACGGGCAAGTAAAAAATGGACAGAATTTCAAGAATAAACCAGTATTCAATTGAAGTATGTGCCACTATTGTATTTAGAAAAATAAACACAGATAGGTCGAACTTAACCTTTAAAATATAATTTGAAAGTAAATTTAATTTTTTTCCTTGAAGATTAAAAAAAATCACATCAAATCTGATGTTATTAAACCCCGTTCTCACCGTTTCCAAAAACGTTCACCTCTCTTCATCCGCTACACAAATATATTTCATGTCCAACATTATTGAAATTCTAGAATCTAGATTGAAAAACGAATACCTACAATTGGATTTGGGTCAAATCAGTGATAGCTGTTTTACATTGACAATTTATTGATCAATTAATTCATGAAGTCGCTTCATCAAGAAATTGGACAAGTGTAATGCACCAAATCTGCTGTCAAATAACTTCATGAATTTATTCATCAAATTCTTGACGAATTAGAGCATGTTCTAATTTTCGTCAATTTCTTCGTGAAGTTCAGAAGTACCAACCCAACAGATTTCCAGCCTCAGATCAGTAATGAGGTTATGTTATTGGAATATGTAAATAATTGTGTGGCGTCGTGCTAGTTTTGCATTGTTTTTACTGATTTGTTATTTACAAAAACTAATATTTATATAATATGTGTCAGAACGATACCGCTGTTGTATCACTACAATTATGAGTGGAAAGGTGACATTTTTGAAATTTATTTGCTTCTTTGATTCATTGGTAGAACTGATTCGTACGTCAAAAAACTTGACAAAGTCTGTAGCGGTGTAAAACCACACTGTTTACCAATAAATTCGTGAATTAATTGTTGAAGAACTTCGTCAATTTATTCATGAATAAATTGTCAATGTAAAACAGCTATTTTATAAAAATTTTCATAACAATAATTTGTACATATTACACGTTAATTAATGAAACATTTTGTGTATGCATAACGTAAACTTTTAAAACCCAAATTAATTACCTGTACTTGAAACTATCACAATAAACAAGTAAAAAATCGTTCACTTAATAGGTAAGATACAAATATTTCACTTTGATCATATCCTATATTATAGGATATGATCCCTATGTAGCTAGTAGTAAGTTTTTGTAACTTACCCAGCGCTTAGGTATATTGAAATTGGACATGATTTTTCTTACGATTATTTTATAAAATATGCAGCTGCTACTTTACAAACAAATATTCGCCTCATATTGTTCTGTGCTCCTATATCTGTGTCCGAATGTCTCATTAAAATATTTTTAAAAATGTGCATACCACTAGTTATGGTTGGCTTATAAAAAAGTATTAGTCCTAACTTAGCCGTAACTTAACCTTAGTCCTAAAAAGTTAAATGTACAGAATGTAATGTATCGGTTTATAAAAATCCCTAGTCGTAAGGAGGTCTTAAGACATGACCTTGAAAGTTCGCATCTTTTAATTTTTCTAGGATTAAGACTAAGATCTGAGAAGTGCGCATGCACAAGTATTGCATTTCGTAGCATAGTGACCTCATGTCTTTGTCTATGGGGGTCGCCAATACGCCATTACCATAGTAATAGGTTATATTTTTCTTCTCACCCACCAACAAAACAAATAAAATAACATTACCCAGAATAATAAACAAGTATTATGCTGTGATATTACTAGCCATGCGCGTAGTCGAATCGCTCATTGGTTAATCTTAATAAAATTAGGACCACACATTGTTTTTATAAACGTGTACCTATTCTTAGGACTAATACTAAGATTAGTGTAAAGGTTAATACTAAGACTAAGACTAAGTTAGGACTAATACTTTTTTATAAACCAACCATTAGTAGTACCTATGCATTAAGTACAGCAGGTTTTTGTATTGAAAACTATGATCTAAGATCAGATGAATCACTAACAGCCGTTCCCTGATTTCAAAAGCATTTTTGATCATATTTAAAGCAAAATATATCTAATTCCTGATCGTTTTTCAATGCATATGCAATCGAGACAGATGTAACAATTCAACACATTAAAATTTTGTTGACATTCTTAAACATTTTTTAACATGAATTGATTTACTTTCCAAACGACGTCAGTGATTCTACTCACCCGGTCAACAAAATCACAGTGCTCCAAAAACCCTTGTGGCGATAGAGATATTTAAAAAAATTATGTAAACAATTGTTGCTGCATGAAATTAAAATTTGGTTTTAAAAAGTTGGTACTCACTTTTTCGCCGACTTGAACGCCCGAGCCTCCGTTGTTCTTGTAACAGCCAGGGAAGCGTCTTCAGATACCAATTCGAACTTTTCACAACACTTAACCTGTCAAATATTCGACGTGCAATCGTCAAAATACACTCCACTGCAACCGGTACCGCTAATACACTAGTTTACACACAAAATGCCAAGCAAAAATTTAGTCAAAATCGCGACTGCATCAAACACCCCAGCAACACGCACTTTCAGTTGAACTAAACAGAAGCGAGCATGCGCATTTGTCCTTCTTTTCGTAACGCACGTGTGATTTAATTGTTCTTGGAAATTGGAAAAACTAGTTTCAACGGAACTGGTTCTGTTTACCTAGGTCAAAACAAAAAAACAGAAATATTTATATTAAAGGGATAAATATTAGATAATAAGTACATACCAAATACTACTAAAATGTGAAATATGTAGTTATTAATTGTATGTATAGTTATTAATTACAATACTGGTATCGTATTGTAGTCGTGGGACAGATTTTCAAACGTTTACAGGTAGATACTTTATAAGCTTCAACATAAATAGGTTCTTAAGTGGTATTTTACACAATCGTGTTTTTATTATTCAAATCTTGAATAAAAAAACTGGGCAGTACAAAAATTATCTATGTACATTTCACTAGATGCTGTTATTACTCCTTTTCACACTTAGGTAATTATTAATTTTCTCAATGTTAAGAATTTTTCTCGTTTGTTCCTAATTTTCTCGTTTTATTCAACATTATAGAGGCATACTTTTTGAAATGTTATTTAAAGACGGGGTGTAAGGAGAATGACTGTCATTATTATAACAGGCGATTGGACCCAAACAAACAAAAAAGTTTAAATTTAACCGGTTTCTAATATTATGAAAAAAATTCAAAGATGGAACTTAGATAAATTTACATCTTGGCTGCTTTCTCTTATCTGCAAGACAGAGATGTGATTAACTAGATCGTAAAAAAGCGAATTCAAAAATAGTTTAATGTACATTTTTGCACCAAATTTTTTTTCAGAGAAAAAGATATAAGTTTTCCATATATTTCTCACAGCATGTGTTCAAAATGACTGGAACTGGAGTTATGCATTTCATTTTAAATTTCTATGGCCCCGAAAATAAAATCCACATGATGTAAGTCATTCAAGACGTCCAGACGACTTGAAAAAAAATAAGAATTAAAGGAGATAATTAAAAGTACAAAGTGCAGTCGACTAGGAACGTCAACTATCACTATCTATGTCATCCAGCGGATTAACATATATGCATACTTTTTGTGTATTCAATAGTAACACCCTGTTTTCACGGGGCGCCACTGGACAGGCCTACATGCATCTCTATAAAAGAGACAATAAACTCCAAGGTGTTTTGAGCACCCGAAGCTTTTATATAGTCGCATCAATCTCAATTATTTATCACTAATGATGGTCGCGCCAGCTGATGAAGTATTAAACATAATAAAGGACTAACAAGGATAATGAAATTAATTAAAGACGGCAAGCGATTTGTAAGCCTTTTTTCCTGCACTTAACGAATAACATGTGGAATTTTTATAGTTTAGTTCTTATGGGGATTTTAATTTAATATACAGGGTGTTCTTCAAGCTCTGCGACAAACATTGGCAGATTGACTTTCAGATTTTCTTCTGAAGAAGAGCGTGACATGTCTCGAAACATCGATAAGCCTAAACCAACAGCCATTTATTCTGGACCTAACTTCATTTTTCCAAATTGAACTCTCTGTATACGACTGCAATTTTCAAATTCTCGTCGAATTTAAGACCCGCCTCAATTATAAAAATAAATATCGGGTTTATTGTATGTAAATTTTGTCTTTGACATGTTAATATCCACCGTCTACAAAAAAACCTTTATCATTATCATTAAAAATAACCAAGACACCCCTTAACAATACTAAAAAATACCTGGGGCGCGGAAGAATGTGTTTTTTTCGACTCTCCACGTCACATATATTTACAGTTCAATTTGGGACTGGCAACAATAAGTGTCAGAAGGTGTATAGAATTTATTTCCTTCTAATTCTTGGAAGCCATTAGAAGCGTCCACAAAGCTAACTACGTCTTCCTCCCTTTCCCAAGCTCGTCTACCTGCTCTGGTGAAGGGCCCATTATTTTCCCAAATAGAATTAAGGTATTGTCGGGACCGGGGTAACAAGTCAACCCCGTGAATGGATGGCACTTTCAGATAATATCTGGGGAACGAATAGGCCGGACCACTACATGAGCGCTCTTTTCGCTGTCTACGAACAGGGTCAAACTGAGTTCGATGGTTACCGTCGACAATAATTCAAACAAACTTAGCACAAGTTTTGTCATTAGATTTTTCTTACTTTCGTCTATTTTTGTAAGATACTTGAAAATAGGTTATAAAGGGTTAGTCAAAATTAAAAAAATATCAATTTATGGTTTAAAAGTGGGTCTAAATTCTGTTGTTACATTAACAGTCACGACCAAGGCAAGAAACAACAGCGAAGATCTACCCGGAGGACAAACGGAGCCAGCAAGAGACGCGATCGAACGTCGACCCGTTTATTTGCAGTTGATTAACCAGGATAGTAACCCAATTTTTCGAAGTCATTTTTTATGTAAAAGGATCGTGTTATATTACACGTATGAAAAAAAAATAAAATTACAATTCCTTATCTGTTATTCAATTTTTTGACTAGCGACTCATTTTAATTTTTGGCTTGAGTTTCCGTGCGGTCCGACCCTGCCCTCGCGGCACAGACCTTCGAGGCGGCGTAGTGTAGGCGACGCGCTGTTCGAGATTGTTTTGTTAAAGCCCGCTGACACAAGAGGAATTAACTGCGGGACCGCATCGAATTGAATGCGAACCCTGACGGAGAGAGAGAAAGGTAGTACTTGCCTACAAGTACCTTTAATTGCCGGTACAAACTCTATTTGTAGTTGCCACTTTTCACCGTGTCAGTTAGTGGTTGATGGCCACCATTGTCACACTTTTTTCGGGTCTTGACTGACGCGACTTAAAAATTTAACATCCTCCTCAGCACTGATTCAATGTTTTTAACAGTTGCGAATTGATTTGACATTATTACGCCCTATAATAAACTGATTCTTCCGTTTTAATACTGCGACAGTTCAGCAATTTATGCAAAGATATAGGTACCTATACATTGATACAACGAAAACTTTTTTGGGACCGCTGACTCCACTAATAGTCCAATTCAATGTGACTTTAAATCGGATTTTGGTCAACTTGCCTGAATTTTTTATATAAGTTAGTTTGAGATATATAATAATAATAAGTAATAGATAGTATTTTTTTTTTTTCAACCCCAAGGCAGGGGTGAAAAAAGATTAAATAAGGGGGTTTTTCAAGATCACTCAAAAGGGGTAAGAGGTAGAAAAAAAAGTTTCTTAAGTTGTAGAGTATAAAATTCTACATAAAAATGGTCTATTGACTTTTCCTTGTGCTATTAAAATTAACAGAGTTAGGGAGACTAGAAGTTAAGGGATGATTTCAGAAATTTAAAAAATCATAAGTAGAAAAATGATTGAATTTTATATATTTATTTGCAATCTACTCTAAAAAATAACTTTTCAGAGAAACGTTTATATTTTTTAATTTTTAATAAAAAAGTTATAACAATTTCACAAAGCGAACTTGATTTTTTATCTTTGTCGTAAAACAAAAGAAAGCAACTTTTCATTATTTTAAATAATCAATAGAATGGCATAGGAAAAAAAATATTTTAGTGTTAAATCATAAAAATTAACGATTAAAAAATTGAAATTGTTATAACGTTTTTATTAAAAATTAAAAAATATATCTATTTCTCTGAAAAGAAAGTTTACATTTTTTTTAGAGGAGATTGAAAAATTATAAAATTTATTAATTTTCTCTTGACTTTTCTGCTTGTTCATTTTTTTAAATTTCGGAAATCATTCCTTAACTGCTAGTCTCCCCAACTCAATAGACCATTTTTATGATGTAGAATTTTAATTAATTTTTTTATGTAGTATGTAAGTCGGGGATGATTCCAGAAGTTCTCAAAATTTTTTAACAATTTTGGTTATTATCAGTTTTAAGTGCAGTTTTCAAATTTCAATGATTTTGAATATTGATGTTTATTATTAAAGCATATCATTAAAAAAAAAACCTTTCCAAGTTTGTAAACACTGAATAATACGCATTTTTTTTAACTCGGTAACCGCACCTCATAATATGATTTGGAAATGCGTAAGCATAACTCATCTTTCTTTTTTTTGTTTCAGTGTTGGTGGTACCCCTGGAAGCGGTCTCCTCCTAGGTAGGGAGCTCCATCCCGCTTATCGGTTGCCTCCACATATGGAGTACCTCTATTCTCTCCAACATTCCACAAGTAATTCTATTCATGGTAAGGGGACACTCAAACTAGATTATTACGCCCGTATAAGTAGTTGAATACAATCAAAATAATAAACAAAACGGGAAATTGTAATCAGTAATCGAATAATAATGCAGCCATCTTACATTGCTACAATTTGTGGATAACTTAAACTGAGAAATTCCCATGTAGACCAGGGCGAATCTGTGGAAATATTTCATTTCTTGGATGTAAGAGGGGGCAAGCTAATTTTTGCTGGAATACCTTCAGTATAACTCACATAATAAAAGTGTAGATTCCTAGATCTGGGCGAGGTCCGGAACATTTTCAAAATTGCAATAATGTTTTAAAAATTTTAAAAAATACCTATTTTATCTGAGTTTTTTACTTATATCTTGGAACCTATGCATTTTGGAAGAATATTGAAGAGGAAAAAAGTTTTAGAATGGAATTTTGCACAACATACTGTAAGTTAAAAATGTTTAAACTTATTACCGATGTTGCAAAATAGCAATAATTGATGAAAAAAGGCAAACGAATCAAGTCTTCTTTGATAATTTTTTTAAAATGCTTTAATTGCTCCGAAGGCATTCTAATTTTGGTAAAAAAAACTTTATAGTATAATAAAACAACACACCAAATTTCATTAAAATTGGTTCGATACTTTTCGCAAAATAATTTTTTGAAAAAAATTTTGAAAAAAATTTTCGAATTTTCAAAATTTTGCACAGCCTCAAATAAAGCATCTAGATACTTGAAAATTTTTTCACATAGAAAAAACCGCTTAACCTTTCAAATGGTTTTTGAAAAATTGAAATCGGTTGATTAGGGCGGCCACAGTAAATTTTTAAAATTAACATTCTTTTTTTATTTTCAAACAATTAGATTACATTTATTAATTTGCAATTTAAAAAAACTACAAAATTCAATTGTAAAACATTTTTTCTTCTTCAATATTTTTCCAAAATGCATAAATCTGAGGATCCACACTTTTATTATGTGAGTTGTACTGAAGGTAATCCAGAAAAAATTTGCTTGCACCCTCTTACATCCACCTCAAAACAGATCCGCCGTAATGGTTGTCAGCCTTATTTTACATTTTGAGGTTCATAGATTCCTTTTGTCTGTGATCACAGAACAATCATTTTTTATATACTGTGTTCTTGAAGGTCATTTTGATAAAAACCACTAGACTCTGCTTTAAGACGGTGATATGATGATTTTCCTATACATGAGATCAAGTTTTCATGACCTCGAGGTCATAAAAAGGAGTACTCAGAGGATTTACCTTCAAAAATCAAGAGTTGACCTTGAAATAACCTTGAACTTGGCCATCAAGGTCACATCCAAAATCACCCAAAGACCCAAACAATTTTGTAGAAGTTACTTTCACGACATCTCGCTATCCTGACGAGATACCAATTTGAGAAGTTCTCGAGGGATATTTGACCTTCAAATGATCTTGAAAATGAAAAAACAACTGAACCACGTCTTCTAACGTAAAATCCGGGGTCAGAATTCGGGAACAAAAATTGTATTACTTTAGATTTTACTTTAAGGTGTTATTTCTTACATGACCCTGAATAAAAATAATTAAAAAAGGAAAAAAAAACATTTTATGTAAACATCCTTGTGTTTCTTCTTCTTCATCTTCTGTGTTGTCCTTTTCTGCTCTCTCATTTTTCGTTTTTTGTCAAATTCTCATATTCCTTTGAATAGAATCTGCGGAAAAAATAAATAAGAAACCTCGTGGCTACGGTCGTGTACGGACTTTTCTGGGATACATAAAAACCAATTATTACTCCATTTCATCGTTTTCTGCTGACCACTTTTACAGCCTTCGCTCGTAAAGCGACGAACATATCGAGTTTTTTTACGGCCCGCTCAGGCTTTAGAGTTCTTCAATTAAAAGTTTTAGATGTTTACTACATCCCGCTGATCATCGGCCCCGCGGAATGCGCGAAATCCCGAAACGACACACCGGATTTACTTCTCACGCTAGCGCGCTTTAATAGAGATATTCGTAACGGGCGCCGGAGTCGTAAAATTTTACGACAGAGTAAATTTAAAAAATATATATAAATATTTTTTGTTCGCACGCAGCCAACGTAAATGTTGATTGTTTTTTATGTTGCAGTGATTGCGTTTCGCACAGAGTGTTTGTTTAGTAGTTACGTATAAATGTATAACCTACGACCTGCATATGCCTAAGGACGTAGAGCCGCTGGCGCCTTGCCTGCGGGCCCCTAAATTGGCTAATGAAAACATTAATACAAAACATGATATAAATACTGGGAGTTGCGATATTCCAGTAAGCGAGAACTGATTCACTCGGCGCGTGACGTCACCCGGAGAGTGATCTAAGCGATTCATTAATAAGATTTATGCTAATGGTTCATGGTTGTGTATCTATTAAATAATAACAAATATTTACATGCTCTTCAGTGTTATCAGCATTATTCGGTAATTCCTGTGCAGATTTTTCCGAATCTTCCTTGGATTCTGACATATTATGACTGTTATTTTTTAAATTTAGCAACATCTTTAGAAAATCACAATCATGCCACAAGTGCCATGAATAAACTCGAACATTTTTGGTGTTAAATATATGTTTACGTCCAGATTTTTAAAATATATTCATAATTTGGAAACCGGAAAAACATTATGTCTTTGTAAAAGGATTTCCTTTGATTGTCCAAAACCAGTACAACGTTTCTGGATGATAACAAACAACATTGCCAATACTCACTAAAGGAATTGCATATACATTCAAAAAGACACAGGAACAGTATGAAATTTACACCACTTTAGAATATTCACAATACGAAAGCCAAAAGAGGTCTGTACAGACAAGACCCACAAATCGCTATTACTCTCCACGTGACGTCACATTGTGGTCACGGGATACGCGATATATCTCTTAGTTTTTGTATTACGAGTAGCAGCATCTTCAAATAACATATCCTAGCATATCCCGGACACCCTGTATATTTCGTTATATCAGACATGTGAGGCAGTTACCGTAGCGAATCACGTCTATCCCCCTTCGAGTTAATATTTCACAAAGTGGCCGGTAGCGGGGCCCATTCGATTCATATTTATGGACGTACTAATGATTTATTTTCGCGTCGGGATATGTTTATTTACTTTGCCATATCGAAACGGCCCCGGTTTATTTATAATCTGGTGCTGTTTATTTTCCGTGGCTTCTTATACCAGCGCTCGAGACGACTGACGCACAATAACTCCGTCTGTTACAATGTCGAAACGGCCTGTTTGTTTTCTTTTGCCACACTCTTTTTATAGTCAATAAAAGCGCCGAGTTTTCTTAAAACACTAGTCGTCGTAAACAAAGGGCTACGCGGAAGCTCCTCGCCGACTGCGAGCGGTGGTGTTGAGAGAAGTATAAGTTTCTTCCACCAAGAGAATGTTCTGTTGCCGGATCGTTTCCTTATACAGGGTGATTCAGTCATAATGTCTTTAATTTTAACCACGTATTCGGAACACCTAATAAAGAGAGAAAATCGAAAAAAATTTTTACTCGACCTTTTAAAAAATAAGCAAATTATCCCTTAACTCCTAATGAGTGAGTGTTATTTAACGTATTGTCATTTTAAAAAGCAATAAGTCACATATACGTACTACAAACTGAATAATTAATTGAACAAAATACTAAAAATTTATTTCAATTATAAAAACTGTTTATTCGTTTACTACGGATTAAAAACGCATTAAAAGCTAGATTAATGACCGAATTTTACGGTAAGTCAAGATTCACTCTCGATGAACCTTTGTGGGTCAGCGGCCAGGAGCGGTCCGAGAGGGGTTTAAATAACATAGCCCCACAAAATTAAAAAGTATCGGAGCTGGTATTCAGACCCTTGTATTTTCATGTATTTTTTCCCACTGAATCCGAATCTGCCTTCAGATTTGGCCCAACGGGTCTGAGTTTTCGGGAAAACTCAAAAAACAGGTCAAAATTCACAAAAACTTCATTTACGATCGACAAAAGTTATAAAAAATCAAATTATTCTACCTTCTGTTTAATTCCAATTTATCATCATAGAGTCAGACAAGCTGGTCCAATTTCATTGGGTGGGTTTTATAGGTGGTACAGGTGGATGAATAAATATGCGTATTCATGCATGAACGACTGGATAGAAGCGTGGGTGGATAAAAAGGTGGATCCAGAACTCTGCAACACGAATTATGCCATGAAAATGGCGTTTTTAAGCATTTTGATCTATTTTATGTTTTTGAATGAAATTGGACCAGCTTGTCTGACTCTATGACGATACATTGGAATTAAACAAGTGAAAAATTATACGTCTAGTGAGCTGGTAGAATAATTTGATTTTTTATAACTTTCGTCGATCGTAAATTACGTTTTTTGTGAATTTTGTCCTGTTTTTTGAATTTTCCCGAAAACTCAGATCCGTTGGGCCAAGTCTGAAGGCAGTCTGAATACCAGATCCGATACTTTTTTTTGGGGAGCTGTGTAATGAATTGAATTTTTTTTCAGGGTAAAATTAATGACATTATGACTGAATCATCCTGTAGATATGAAAGAACATAAATGTACGCAAAATTTAAAAGTAGACCTCATCCCTTCAGTTGCCAGGTTTATAGTCTTTACGAAGTAGTTGAACATGTATAAAAACGCCTAGCAATGAAATTTAATGAGTTTCATAGGCGTCCCTAAAAAAGTTTTCTGCTAAAGGTAAAAAATTATAATAATTTGTATATAATGTGTAGAGAATTTTTATTATATGTTCATTTGGACAATAAAATATTTAATGTCCTCAAACAATTTTATTATATTGATGGTAAATTTCGTTTTAATATCCCTCCCTCCCTTTCGCAATTGTAATATGAATGATTAATGGAAGGTGCCTATAATAAATTAAAATTACCTGAATTACATCAAATTCCGCATTGCTGTACTGCACTGCTAGGCAATTTGTCTGTCACTTGTCAACAGCTGAGATTAAAAATGAAGTCCTCTATCAACTGTTAAAAGTTAGTAAAAA